ATTACATGTGGTATGCGCAATTTGATAAGAGCCCTAATTTTTATCACCTGTATTTTTACGCAGGTCGCAAAAGAGAATGCTGATGTGATTGTAATGGACGACAACTTCACAACTATAATAAACGTCGCAAGATGGGGTCGAGCTGTTTACATAAACATTCAAAAGTTCGTGCAGTTTCAGCTCACGGTTAATGTTGTCGCTCTTATTATCAATTTCTTTTCAGCTTGCATTGCAGGTAATCGAAAAATATATAGGAAGTTTCCTACATTATCATCTTTTTATAAGGCTCCTTTTTGTTTCCTGGCACTCATTTATCATTCTATTGAAATTGTAGGCAAAGCTCCTCTTACTGCAGTTCAATTGCTATGGGTGAACTTGATCATGGATACATTAGGGGCTCTGGCATTGGCAACCGAGCCTCCTAATGATGAAATGATGAAAAGGCCACCAGTTGGAAGAGGCGAAAACTTTATAACTAAGATTATGTGGAGAAATATTATCGGACAGAGCTTGTATCAGCTCGTCGCGTTGGGAGTTCTCATGTTTGATGGGAAACGGGTTCTTCATCTTCAAGGCCCTGATGCTGATCCAATCCTATATACAGTCATATTCAATACTTTCGTGTTTTGCCAGGTAAACATTACTTATCGAGATTTTGCAATATAAGCAAATTTGTTGCTGGATGCTGTTTTGTTCGCACTTTGGTTAAGTTTTTGTGTTATTTCTCTCATGTATGTTGTTATCGGTTTAAAATCACATTGTCTACCAATTAGAAAGTTCTCTGGTTTAAGCTCTCTACTTTGATAGTGGAAATTTATAAAATTCGGTATGGTTAAAACCCAGTTGCACATCCAGGTATCTGAGGCTGAAGCCACCCTTACCGATTTATTATTGCTACAGGTATTCAACGAAATAAACAGCCGAGACATGGAGAAGCTTAACGTGTTCAGCGGTATATTCAGCAGCTGGGTATTTCTCATGGTAATGGCATCCACCGTCGCGTTCCAAATTATAATCGTCGAGTTTCTAGGCACATTCGCAAGTACCGTCCCGTTGAGCTGGAGGATGTGGGTTGTTTGCATCTTAATCGGCTCGATCAGCATGATTGTTGCGCTAATCTTGAAGAGCATTCCTGTTGAGTCTGAGAAGAGCCATGTCAGTCACAGTGGATATGAGCCTCTTCCCAGTGGTCCTGATGCTGTGTAGTTCGGAGAAGGATTGGATTCAGTTGTGGAAGTTTAGAAGAGTGGTGGTTTTGTTTTGTTTTGTTTTTTTGATGTTTTGATTCTGCTATTTTGAGTTGCAGGAGGGTAGAACAATTTTGTTGTGTGGTGACTTATGGATTGTTAGGTTTTGATGAATTTGTAGGTTTTGTTCTTTTTTCCTAAACAGACAGCCTTTTGATAGAGCTTTTCACAAGTATTTTCCTCTTCATTTTCAGTTTGTTTATCAAATTTTTGTTCAGAGTTTACTCTCTTAATTTATGTTATTACATACATGACGTTATATTTTCATTCTGTATATATTTTTCTTCAAGTTACAGTAAATCATAAAATTTTCCAATTTATATGTAAGTAATATTAAAGATGAAATTTTAAATCAAGTATGACCGTCTCTTTTGACAAAATAAAAGTATCTTGTTTAATAATTTGATATCCATAAATCATATAATATAGAATCAGATGACTGTATTTTCGTATTCGACGAATATCTGCGAATAGTTTTCAAACTTGATTCCTATTCAAAGATTTTAAAAAGATACAAATTCCGACACCTCAATATTCAGTTACATTGATTTGCAACTAATTATGCACAAATTAATTTGAACATATTTTTTATTTTACATTAAGTATTGTTCTATGTTATAAATTCTATTGTTTTATGCTAGATGTCTTAGATTTCTAACAAAAGAAAATGAAAGAATATAATTTATTGTTTGACAATAAATTGAAAGTAAATAAATAAAAATGAAAAATCTAAAGATAACTTTAGAATGCCTTCCATAAAATAAAATAAAAAAATTAAAAATGCCAAAATTCAGAGTTATGGGTACAAATAAGTCTCAAATAAAATAGTGCGAGAACAAAATAGTAATTATATCTACTTCACTAGCTTATTGAATATTGTAGCTATGACTATGGTCTGGAATTATAATTTCTTCCTCAAAGAATGTTACTAACTTATGACTAAGGTCTAGAGATTAGAGGACCTAAACGCTTGACTAATAACAGCATATTAACATTTTAAGGTCAAAATACAGGTATCTATCTCTTTTATGGGTTTTTGTCATACTAATGACTAAATTCTTTTTTGATTTTATATTAGACTGCCAACTCTTCATATTTTCAATTAACACACCGACTATCAAGTTGTTTACTTGTTTTAAATACATTCTGTGACTGGATTTGGTTCATAACTGTTATCGTAAGTATGGCTAGCTAATGAAATTAATAGATTTAAAGATATTGTTTTGAAAAATGAAGAGTTAGAGGTCTATTACTGGAGTCTAATGAGATAAAACTACATTTTGAAGAGGATATTTAAAACAGAGGTAAAAGTACTCAACAAACTTTGAGGGTCTGTTTGGCAAATGCCTCACTGATCGGGTTTAACTTTTGGTTAAGGATTTAAAATATGTTCAGCAAAAGCTTGCACCAATTTCAATTAGCTTTTTTTGACAAAATACTCGATTGGTATATTTTGTTGACCATATGTGATAGATTGATATATTATCTTACTCCCGCAGCAATTCGATATATTATGTGGACTATGATGACAAATGGACCAATTATTTCGCCCGACACACAATTCTAGCTGAATTGCTTCACATGACTCCTCACATGTGGTCGATGTGAATTAAGTGGGCGGAAACCCCAATTGTTAGTATTTGTTTGTAAAAAAACAAGATAGTCCCACATTGAAATTTTGAACATTCTTTTAGAGGTTTAAAGCATTGAATGCTTATTGGGCTTTGAATAATGTATCAAAGTATAGGCTTCTAAACCCGCGTGCGGTTAGCGCGATTTTGACGCGATTATTAGACACACTTAGCACTTAGCACGCTTGCCGCTGCCGCGTAAATGTTTTATTTTAAATATTTTTTTAATGTTATTTTGAATTTTAAAAAAATTATGAAAAGACAAGTGACCGTTGAAAAGTGACCGTTTGCTCCAAAGGTTGTTTTAAAAAGTTATGACTGTTAGAAGCACATTTTCAAACCTATAAATAGTTTATGTTTCCAGATATCTAAAAACAATTCTTTTCTGAATCTTTTCTATCAAAAATATCTGCAATATTACAAACTTGTTTCACAACGAATTAAGGAAAATTCCAGATTTGCTTACTGAAATTTTTATTTTTTGTTGTATCCTAGGAAGAAAATTTGCATTAACCCGAAGCAACTTTGAATATCAAGTGGGGGCAAATATTTCTTTAAGGAAAGTGTTTCACGCCTCAGAATTTCTCTCCTTTATTTTTTTAAAAAAATAACACCAATTCCCTCCCCAACCCCCCCCCCCCACCAACCCAAAAAAAAAAATCTCTATTTTCTCCGTACATATGAGAGATGACAAATCTTGAAAATTTTGTAGAGATTCCCCTTATGCTTAGAATTGGTGATCTCCGAGGCTTGATTTTTTCTATCTACACTGAGGCGCAAGAGAGGATTAGGATTATTTCGTCGGCTACAGTGAGGTGCAAAAAGTGAGTTCAAAATCCAAAAAATTTAAAGATAATTTGAGAAATTAGATGGTTAATAAGGATGATTAATGTTATTTAATGGGTTCAAAATATTGATTTCGCTACAATATGGTCGACTTGTGTAAACTAGGGTTTTTCATTCCATTTAGCCTTGTTTACTTCTTCTCATGCTCATGCTGAAACTAACCTTGAGGATGAAGAATTCATCTCCAATTTCAATTGCCCTAACCAAAATCACACTAGGAGGAAGAAGAACGAGAGTCTTCCAATTTGAACCTTAACTCTTTAGTCCTAATGCGAGAAAACCCCTTTCAGTAATTTGAAGGATCCCAATCACCGCCACGTCAGCCACACGTGAGGATCACGTGAATCAATTTGGCTGGGGTTGGCTCTGGCCAAAGTATAGGCTCATTTGTTGCTGTAGTCCACATGATTTATCAAATTATCGCTAGAGTAAGAAAATATACTAAGCTGTCATATATGGCCAACAAAATATATCAATCTGATAAACTTGCCTTTTTTTTTCCAAGTTAAACAAGAGACCCTTAACACCCTGTTTGTTTTTTTTATAGTGAGGATACTATTTTAAAATAGTCGGGACCCATCTCTTTAGCTTATGTGTTTTTTAATCTTGTCAGGACTATTTTTAAGTAGGCGCTACTTAAAACCCACTAGAGAGACTAAACTAAACCCACACCACTCCCTCCCTTTATAATTCATGTACTAATCATCTAGGGGGATTAGGATTTATTTCACAAAATTCCTCTTTCCTTTTATTTTGTAAGTGAGTTTTTCCATTATTTTTCCGCGCTGCTTTCTTTTTCGCAAGCATGAAGAAGACATTCTTGAAAAAAAAAGATCACGAGTAGCAGAAAATAAAAAAACGTGGGACCAAATTTTAGGAGTATCAAATATATCAATGTTTGCTTGCTTAGCCGTTGAATCAGACGTGGCATACCACTTTATTGTTGCTATGCCCATAGTGCGCTTAATGCTTACGATGAAAATGTATAGAGTAATCCTTGAACAAGTTGTTTACTAAGTTTAGAGGCTTGATATATACAATTAAGATTTGGTTATGAGATATTTTGGTGTGAACAAAAAGTATGAGGATTTAGAGGCTTGACGTATACAAATTAAGAAAGACTTTGGGGGTCTAATATGACAAAAAACCCCTTACTTATTACCAACAATTATCAAGCCGCCTCATAAAAGCTGTTAGTTGAGCCCACCCACCAACCCCCAATAAAACCCAGTCTCCCCTCTAAACTCCTTCCCCATTTCACCATCTCACCCTCACCCCCTCCCCCGCCCCCCCAATCAAAATCAATAACCCGCCGACAAACTCGCTCTCTCGTATTCTCACGATCTCCTCAAAAAGAGTTTTTACTTTCAGACCCAAAATTCTCAGCCTAACTAAAACCCACCTAATGCTTCCAACCACAATGCCGGCTTCCTCGTTGAAACCCATGCCTTTGTCATAAAAAAAGGTTTTTTTTTTTTTTTTTTGATTTGTTGGTGCTGGATCGCCTAACGTTGATTTCAGAGGCACTCGTATAAAGACCCCACCTCGGTTTCTTCTCTTCTTGTGACTTCGTGAGATGCCCGTGAGAAAAATTGTTATCCGGTTTTGGTGATCATTTCGGAGTTGGGTTTTTTGATTTTGGGGAGAACCCAGAAAGGGAAGGCTGAGAATTTGGCTAGAGTTAGCTAAAAGTTCCGATTTTGGTATCTGGGTTGTTCCCTTTTTGTTGGTATCTTGTATGTTCTTGTACCTTTAGACATTGGGATTGATTTTATACAGGATTCCCAAATTTTTAGTTGTTGATTCTTTTTGTTAGAGTTGCATTCTGGGAGTTGAAAGCTTTGGGGTTCTTAGAGCTTATTAATATGGTGGGTACTGTAAATGTGACCCCTGATTCTCTCTACACGAACGGATCCCTTCACAGCCCCAACGGAGTCGAAGAGAAACTCGACGAGCTCCGTCGCCTTTTCGGGAAATCCGACGGCGACCTTCTGAAGATCGTGGGCGTGGGCGCCGGGGCGTGGGGCAGCGTGTTTGCCGCCCTCTTGCAAGATGCCTACGGGCACTTACGGGAGAAGGTCCAAATAAGGATATGGAGGAGGCCCGGGAGGGCCGTGGACCGGTCGACCGCGGAGCACCTCTTTGAGGTGATCAATTCGAGGGAGGACGTCTTAAGGAGGTTAATCCGGAGGTGCGCGTATTTGAAATATGTTGAGGGGAGGCTAGGCGACAGGACGTTGTTTGCCGACGAGATACTGAAGGATGGTTTTTGCTTGAACATGATAGACACGCCGCTTTGCCCGATGAAGGTTGTGACCAATCTGCAAGAAGCTGTTTGGGATGCTGATGTTGTGATTAACGGGCTGCCTTCGACCGAGACGAGAGAGGTTTTTGAGGAGATCAGCAGGTATTGGAAGGAAAGGATTAGTGCACCGGTTATAGTATCTTTGGCGAAGGGAATAGAGGCGGCGTTGGATCCCGAACCGAGGATTGTGACGCCGACTGAGATGATTAACCGAGCAAGTAAGTTTCTGCTCTTCGTTTTTTGCTCTCTATGTTCATGTTCTAGACGCAAAGCTTGTATATTCGATATAGAAGGAAGTTCATTTAGAAGTAAGATAGGAAAAACTTGATGCTAATGCAGAAACTAGAGGAAGATATCAGTCTTACTTGCAATTAAGCTAACTGTTTCTATAGATTTATAATATTCTAGGATAAATCATTTTGGTGGACAGTATTGTGGTCTTCAGGTAAGGAGATGAAAGTAAAAGATTCAATGTCATGCTTTGAATTCATGGACTGACTCCTCATTCTCTTGGTCTCACGAGCCAACGAAGGAAGTCATGTTTCTCCTATTATTGGCAGCAGTAAATGGCGAATCCTTGTTCTTGGAAAGTTTATGCATTTAGTATACAAAGAATTAAATATATATTCTTATTGCCTATCTTCCTTATGTCATGTGAAGCTGATTTTATCTTTTCCCAAGGACGAAAAAATCCAGTTTATTTGCTAATTACTTTCTTGATCCTTCACATCTTGATTACTCATCCCAAAACTTTTTCGCAATTGCGTTATAAACTATCCAACAGAAATTTATAATGATTGCTTTTCTTATGAAAATACTTATGTCCTTTCATTGTCGGCAACTATTTACAGTAGCTGAATGTACATCCACAAAAATCTATATCTGTTCACTGTTGGCAATTGCTTCACTATCAATTGTACGTTCACTTTGTTTATACATGAATAATTGTTTCAGAATTGGAAACTAGCTTTTAATGCTAAATTGCACCCTTCTTTTTCTTTTAATTTTACTCATAATAATTATCATTTGGTTTGCAGCTGGAGTTCCAATCGAAAATATCCTTTATTTAGGAGGCCCAAACATTGCTTCTGAGATTTACAACAAGGAGTACGCCAATGCTCGAATATGTGGAGCTGATAAGTGGAGGAAACCTCTTGCTAAGTTTCTGAGGCAACCACATTTTATTGTATGGGATAACAGTGATCTTGTTACCCATGAAGTCATGGGAGGCTTGAAGAATGTCTATGCTATTGGTGCTGGTAAGTTTTTCCCTATAGATAATGTTGTGAGTCCAAGTAATTTCACATCTCATTATGTCTCCCTTTTGGTTAGTTGAAATAATTATTCGTAGTAACACTTAAATGTATCTGAAACCATATAAATCCACTAATTCTTTGTTTCATGTTTAGAAACAGTAAATACTCAATATATTTTAAGAGATGTTTTATCTTCCAATATTTATAAGATTTGTAAGCCAGCCCTATAGTTGCTGCCTGTAAGTATGAGAAAATGAAGGAATAATTTCTTAGGCAAGAATATAGTTATTTAAGTTAAATTTAACAATTATTCTTGGGATTGACATCGTAATTTGATGCATATTATATGAAGAGTTGGGTATTGCATTACTGCAGTACCATATCATGATGGTTATATTCTTTTTAACAAAAAAATCTAGACATGATATTATTACAAATTATCATCATCATTACACAATATTTGGAGATAATCTGAATTTCTATTTGACTCAGACACACAGTACCAACTTATAGAAGACACAACCACATGTACGTACAAGTTATAGAAAGAAGTTTCCAAAAATGTATGAAATATCTAGATGCAAGATGCTATAAATATACAGATACCATGGTCCCCTATACCACTTCCTACTCCATGTTCAAACTGCAAATCATGCTTCTAGTGTGCACTCAGCTAGGTTGGTTATGGTTGTTATCAGATGATTGCACCTAGCAACCTATAAAGACCTGGATGTGGAAAAAATTTGGACATGTTAGTATGAAACTGGATCTAATATTGTTTTATAGTTTCAGGGAAAATTGGATGCAATGAGACATTCCTGGTTTCCCCTGTGATTATGGTTATTATCGATGTTGTTTGACATAGTGGATATTTTTTCATGTGTAATTTTAGGTTATATAGTGTTATTTGCAGCAGAAAAATCATGCTCCTGAAATATATTTCTCAAAAATTTTAGTGATAGTAAACTGGGCGAATTTTCTTGACCTGTTATCTATATCTTCTTTCATTAAGTTCTACCTCCTTTTCTCTATATGTCATAAGTACGCAGTTGATAAATATTCTTTCATTAAGTTCTACCTCCTTTTCTTAAGGAAAACTCCTCAGGGACCCAAAAATAGGGGACCCCTGAGGGGACAGGTGATGTGTCAGCCCCTGGGGGCTTGATGCACTCACCTGTCCCCTCAGGGGTCCCCTATTTTTGGGTCCCTGTAGCAATACCCTTTTCTTAATGTCTAAGTTCATGAACAGTGCATCAAGCCCCCAGGGGCTAACACATCACCTGTCCCCTCAGGGGTCCCCTATTTTTGGGTCCCTGTAGCAATACCCTTTTCTTAATGTCTAAGTTCCTTTTGATTTTCAGGCATGGTAGCAGCTCTAACTAATGAGAGTGCCACAAGTAAATCAGTGTACTTTGCACATTGCACCTCAGAGATGATATTTATCACACACTTGTTAACGGAAGAGCCAGAGAAACTTGCTGGCCCGCTGCTAGCCGACACTTATGTTACCCTGTTAAAAGGTCGAAATGCATGGTATGGCCAGATGCTGGCCAAGGGAGAACTGAGTCTCGATATGGGTGACAGTATCAAAGGAAAAGGAACAATTCAGGTCAGCCCCTTAACTTCTTACCTTTCTGATAATGCAACCAAGAAAACTAAAATAACTGATAATCACAGAACAAGGTCTACTTAATTGACAGGTACAAAGTATTTTAATATCTCAACCTCTTAGTTCAGACTTCCGTTATGGAACTTTTTGGGTCAACAACAGCAGTGCATATGTAAAATAATCGATATATAAGATGAGCCACCCTACTTTCTGACAGATTATCACATATTTTAGGCAATATCTATTTTTGCGCCTAGTTCACATAGATGGATAAAGTGCAGTTGCTATTTGGTCATTTCCGCATGCCTTTCTCTTATCAAGGTTGAAGAGCAAAGGCTTTGAGGATTTTATGTTGGTGTGGTACAGTAAAAAATAGGGGGTTTTTAATATAAGTATTTAAAATCTTCAATATTTTGAATTAGTCCCTCAAATCATTGAAATTGCTATTAGGTCCCAAATTCTCATGACTTGTTTTTCAAATTATTCCCTCCAAATGCTACTTCTACTCTTAATTGTAGATTCGAAACAGCATATGAGAATTGGCAGACCTAATAGCAATTTCAATGATTTGACAGAGTGATTTTGAAATAATTTAAGAATTGGAGTACCTAATAGCTATTTGAATGACTTTGAGGGATGAAATTCAAAATATTGAAGAATTAAGGGGCTGATGTCAAAACAACCAAAAAAATTGCTTCTTTAAGGAAATAATGCTGACATATCCTTGATTTTTGTTCATAGGGAGTATCTGCGGTGGGTGCATTTTATGAACTTCTAAGCCAGTCCAGCTTGAATGTGCTAATTCCTGAAGAGAACAAGCCTGTTGCTCCAGTTGAGCTCTGCCCCATTCTCAAAACTCTTTACAAAGTATTGATAACAAGGTCAGAGAATTTCCTTTTGCCTATCATGTTAAGTTCTACTTTTCGGAATATAAAGCCAATTAGAGTTTTAGGTATGTCTATAAACCCAATGGAACCAAATTGCTAAGGCATTCATATTTCAGTTCATGCAGAATCTTCAAATCTGAATTCAAATTCAAATTTGGTTCTCCAAATCGGAGTTCAAATTTGAATACTCCTTCGAATCGAAAGAAAACTACATTGGCGTGTTCGATTTGATTTACATAGTTACGTAAATTATTTGATTAGTTGGAGTTCTTCTCGTTTGATTATAGAAAAAATTGATTCTCTTGACTATCCCAATACCTTACTTAGAATTGACATTACTATCTATAAACTTCACCATGTGACAAGTTTTAAATAAAGACATAATATTCATATATCTTATGTGTATCCATATTCTTAATATAGGAACAAGCAGTAAGTGAATATTTGCTTATAAAACGAATTGTATATGCTAGTTTTGTAGATGAACACCGAAACATATTTGAATTCGGTTAGCGGACCATTCAGACATAATTTGAACCATGTTTAATCTAATAAAAATCAAACTATTTGATAATTCGTCCATCAGATTTCATCAACTGAATTCCCTTCTCATTTCCTTTCTTCAGGGAGCTTTCGACGCAAGCAATTCTTCAGGCATTAAGAGATGAAACCATGAAGGATCCTCGTGATAGGATTGAGTTAGCTCAAAGCCACACTTTCTACAGACCCTCGCTTCTTGGCCAACCTCATACTAAAAATTGATACTGTATCAACTGTAAAAGTGAAGAGATGTAAACCGATGGGTGTTTTGGGCTTGTGGTAGAGCATAAATACATGTAATGAGCAGTTTTCAGTTAATGAGAGAGTTCGCTTATCTTCCTATATATGTGTGTGTGTATATTCAAGTGAAGATATCATCAATTGATGATTTAGCAACTATATAACGTAAGAGGTCTAATCTGATTTGTGCCGTGGGCTTTATTTGAGCTTGTAGTGGGGTAAAAATACATGTATCGAGCAGTTTTCGGTTAATGATAAAGTTTGTTCTTCATATTATGTACATATATTCAAGTGATCCTTATAATCGGAAAAAAAAAAAAATGGCGGCCTAATGCCTTGGGCTCTCATAATTATGGACTCTAGGGAGGGTGAGATGCACGCTACTTTATTTTTGCTTTGCAGAGAGAGATGTTTTCAAGACTTGAATTTGTGACCTCCAGGTTACAAGGCGACACCCTTATGCCTGCAGCAAGGCTCACCCTCGTTCCTATAATCAAATCAATAACATAAAAAAAATTAGAGTTTACAAACATTATTCTAAATGGAAAAAATAGGAACAAAGTCCAATTCAGTCTCAAATTATAAATATGGAGGGAAAAAAATAGGGGTAAGTACAGACGCGTGTATAATGTGCTTGGATTTTCCATTGATATATTATATATTATAATACAATTAACATATATCAGATACTTAATAAATTAGTGCTTCAAAATTATCCCACTTTCCTCGTGATTGTCCCAAAGTTAAGAATGAGGTAATTTTTAGAGGTTGGGACAAAAAGTTTGTGTAGAAGTGGGATAATTTTGGGAAAAGTGGGGGTAATTGTCACAATCTCATTATCCTAATGAATAACACCTTAAAATGAAATCTCAATCTCACAATGAATAATACCATAAATTAAAATCTCAAAAATTATCTCGCTTACCCTAAAATTACACCAACCAATAACCCCCTTAAAGTGCATAGGCATTTGTGAAATTTGTGACATACAGATAAAAAGAGGGGCTTTTCTTGAATATACAGTATGTATAGATAGTATACATATATAGTGCATTGTGAAGGTCATTATAGTTGCAACTGTGAAGCATCTAGGTTGCTAAAAGTAAGAACTGGAAATAATGTGAAAAATATCATGATGGACTAGTGTGAAAAAAAAAATTACCAAATAATTTGCCATAGTCGTTAAGTATAAAGATCGGTAATACGCATATGCATCATACAATTTCTTATTTAAAGAATGATGATAGTTTATCAATCTGATTTTCAAAAGGAAAAAATTGAACTTAGGATCCAAATCAGTCGTTGTAAATGTCAGGAGGTAAATATCTAATAAGATATTTCAAAAGGGTTTTTTATACGTCAGTCCCTGGAATATTGCTGTTTTGAACTTGATTCCACTGTAATTTCACTTTTGCAGATGAATCCGCGGATTAAATTTTTTTAAACTTCTTTGCCCTGGGTGAAATTTCGGCAGATATTGCGCGCAGGTGAGATTCAGATTAGGGAGTCTAACTAAGGGCAAAAGCGTAAAAAAGATTTCACTTAGGAATTCTATTTCGCCAGAACGAAACTATTCATAAAATAATACTGCGGGACGTCTATATGCTTTAATATATCATGAAGAATCAATCTTCAGAAATCCAAATTCAGACTAAAAACCTGAGGAAAAAAAAAAAAAAAGCAAAGTCTTCAAATTCTCTCAAATTTCTTGAAAGGCAGTCAATGGTTCTAAGAATACTTCTCGTATTAAACAAACATGCAACTTAACATTTTTTTTATGAGTCCAGCGCATTTCGAAATAGGTTACAGCTTCAAGATTGAAAAATGTTGCATTTTAGCTCGGCAGTGTCCAGGTTAATTATGTTATCAGATACAATTTTTGACGCAGAGACTGTCATAGTCTACCGGCCACATAATTTAAGAAAACTTATAACCATACATTTTTTCGTATAGTATCGTACAAGGAATACGGTTATTTTTTCTAGGTAGAGTGCGCAAAGTCCAAAAAGCTCATAAAAAGGAAAATGTTGTGATTTCTAATTTCTTTCCCAATATATGAAGAACCAGAATAAGTTTACGTAGTGAAGTCTAAGGCTCAAGTGTAACATCGACTAGTCAATTTTGATAGTGGTTTGAGCCAAAACAACACGGCCCACTCAGTGGGTCCAATGACTTACATCTCTACAATGGGCTCACGGACCTGGTACGTGACGCTCAAGGTTATCCATGTAGATGCACCAGTGTCGCACTTGTAATTATACTATACCTCAAGATACATGCTTGTAATTAATCCAAAAAAAAAGATAATTCAATCAAATAGACGAAGTGCGTAAACATTCTATCAACAGTTTTATTTTTGCGTACAAGTCCCCTAACCTAAAGTGTTGTTTGGCAACCCACTAAAATTGAAACACGTTCATTCTTGACCCAGTTTTAGTTCGATTTTATGTTTGAAATAATTTAGACCAATTTTGGCCCAACGCCTTTTCTTTTAAGTTTAGTTTTAGCCTCCAAAATCAGCCCATAATTGATCCACCTCCTACCTAGACCGACTCAGGGCTAGATAAGGAACTAACAACTTAGGCCTGGTGTTTGTTGGGCTACCAAACAAAACCTAAGTTTCCCTATTGCGAAAAAGTTACTATTTTGGCACAAAAACAAGTGCCTGCTTAGGATTATCATAATCTGAATAAACCAAAAATATACTGAAGACTTCAATTTAACATAACAAGTCCCTAGAGACAAATAAGCCAACCAGTTGAGATACAAATTTACAGTTCTCTAAATTCGAAACACCAATTTACAGTTCTCTAAATTTTGCGTTTGGTAGTGAATTGACCAATTCCTATCCACTCTCTAACCCATGTGAATATAATCCCCCTCTTGAATGAGCGAATGAAAATCTCACTACTAACCACAAAAACTTATGTTTGGCGTTAAGTTCTTCAAATTTACAGTTCTCTAAATTCGAAACACCAATTTACAGTTCTCTAAATTTTGCGTTTGGTAGTGAATTGACCAATTCCTATCCACTCTCTAACCCATGTGAATATAATCCCCCTCTTGAATGAGCGAATGAAAATCTCACTACTAACCACAAAAACTTATGTTTGGCGTTAAGTTCTTC